TCAACCATGTGAATGCTTTCAAGAGAGATATTCAAGTTTTGCCGACTTCTGTAAGTGTCCTGAAAATTAGGTGGATGTGGAAGGCTTATTTTGTCTTTCTTTTTTTTCGTGTGTTTGATTCATATTTTTGCATGATCGTATTTTATTGTATGACCGTTTTTATTTCTTGGAGGATGGGCGAATACAGATAGAACGATATAACGAAGTCTTATATATCTATCATACTACTGAATTCTAACTTTAGTTGGTCGTTTTGTTTCTCCAATGTATTGGAGTCCACATTGAAAAAGTATAATTTGGATGGTGTTTTTGCTATCCATTATTTTTCTGGTGGTTTTGGTGAGTGATAACGGTGATATTGTGCTGTGTCTTCTCACTAGTATTCTAAGTTTATGCTGATTACATGTCATTTATATGTTTCAAAAAAGATATTTCATACAGGGGAATATAGTCGTGTGTCAGTTTCTTCCTCCTATTCTTGGTGGTTATGTTCTTTATAAAGTGTTCCAGATATGTCAAGGAGAGTTGTAGTGATGCCTTGTTCTCCATTCTTCATAGTATCTTCTTCTCTATCACAAATCTCGTTCTTTGTGAAACTTGGGACGTCTATGATACCCATCTCTTCACTTTTAAAATGAGTTGAGTTTTAATCAACGAATTTACATAACTTACCAGACATATTGGTTATATATCTTATACTTAATATTTCAGTTTTATCTTCTTTATCGTATTTAAGAATGGCCTATATTTAGATTTCAACACCTCATCTAAAACTTTTACAACTGTTATTCAATAAACCACAAAAAGAAACAATACATTCTACTAGCCTGTTTTTATTCTTCTTGTGCATTCGTACTCAGAACATTAAAATACAAACGCATTTCATAAACAATTTTAAAAACAATGTATATATATAGAGAATACGTCTGATTGCTTTATTTTGTTTGCTGGTAATGGCATGTTTTAGACTGTAGTGTTTGAGATGAATAGGAACGGGATGAATCCCATTGATACTGTAGGATAATTTACACTAGACAGCTCTCGCAACGGTTCATTGATTTATGTTGGGTCATAAAAATTGTGGTTTATTTTTGGCAGCATTTCATCAATGTCGTCTAGTTACATCATTCTGTACAAGGATATTCTATCGGATAACTGGTAGAAACAGTAATGGTGTTTAGATAGCCGGAAGATAGTGTTTAATGACTGAAGATGGTTCACATTTCCGATAACGGTGCAATTTTACAAGAGCTTAATGGATAATTAGAGAATGTAAAAATGCTCTTAGAAACAGCAATCAATAAGGGAACTGGGTGTTGACAACTAATATGAATAATATGAAATAATATTTAATCCCAAACTTTCTTTCATGGAAGCTACAACAGATGTCAAACCTGCTGCACATTAATGAAAGTTAAAGAAATCTTTCAAGTCAGAAATAAATCACAATAAATTGATACTTTCTCAAAGTTATATGAGAGATCAGATGAAAACGTGTTTTGATTATTATACCACGATAGCTATCAAAACCAGAACCTAATCTTGTGATATGATAATCGGATAAAGTTAAAAAAAAACAGAATCAAGTAGATCACAAGAAAGAAAAGAATATTATCACTTTATCAATAAAATTAAATGATCTATTTTAGTAAAAACTATTTTTCAACAGTATGGTTTCTTCTGCGACTAATTGATTCTAAAATAATGAAATAAAATTGAAATATTTTGTACAGAGAGTTAGTGCTTATCCCGGAAGTTCTTGGACATCTGAGTAAAATTTAGTAGAACAACACATTCAAGATGAGTACATTAGAAGCCTGGCTTTGAGGTTACCAAGTCAACATAAATCCTAACTAGTTAGGTTTGAGATTATTTCTGATACCCAAGGAACAAGTAATCCTTCAATATTTGAATGCATTTTATACTTTATAACCTCTAGTTCTTCGAACTTAAGTTATAGAAGAATTTGTAAAAGAAAGCATTTGTTGGGTACATATCAAAGCTCTCTCTCCCTCTATTTATTCACAATAACAACACTTAGAATTATATTCAACACAGTTAATAAACAAATGCCTGGCGAGGATTTTACAACAATATTACTAAATCAATAGCCACCACGGTATCGAAACCCGGTTTCTAGTGTTGTAAGTACGCAGACATACTGCTGTGCCACAGGGGGGGGGGGGTTACCACAGTCATGAGTATTCCTGGAGCTCACTAAAACCTTAAATGTTGTCTTAACATTTGATTTTCGTTTCTGTCACTTGTTTATTATCTGATTATTATAGGACTAATTGTTAATGGAAACAACAACGAAAACGTACAATATACAAACTGACATCCGCTAATAAAGGTTTTTTGTTTGTTTGTAATTAAACACAAAGCTAAACGATGGGGTATCTGTGCTCTGCCCACCACGGGTATCGAAACCCAAATTCTAGCGTTGTAAGTCCGCAGACATACCGCTGTGCCACTGGGGGCGCTAATAAAAGTATAATGCAGCAATTTAGTTTATCTAAGAATATAAACCCAGTTTGATAAAATTATTATACATGATTAAAACACATTTTTCTGCTTTGAGAAGGTAAAACGTTACTAAAATTAATTTTCTTCCTAATAAGCATAAGCTATTATACCACAAGTGTTTCCGTGTTAGAACACGTGTGTAAAAAATAGCAATCAACATTTTAGTGATTAATCTTTGTTATATATATATACACGACTGTTTCCGTTTAAGTTTAATGCTAATGTTAAATTTACTAATTTTTGGTAGCGATAGGTTGTTTGCGTAGCTGTTTGTGAGCCATGCGTTGTGTAGTTGAATTCTAGTGAACTAGCGATTGTTGTACTATTATGTCATGTTACTAGAATCTTCTAAGTTTTTCTCGTTGTTTTAATTGAATATTATTGCATCATAATATCTCATAAAATGAGAAAGGTTCTAGGCTTCAATCGGGCTATAATATGGGTCCAAAATGTAGTTCGAGCTAGTTAGTTAGATAGACCTAGTCTGCGTGATTGTGAGTTTAGCCATAAAAGCCTATAGTGGCGATTTCTAGAGTGAAGTTATCACAGATTGTATTGCAATAACAGAATAGAGAAAGAAGAATTTGTCTTGTCAATTGTGTTCTAAAGTAACTGAACTAGTCGGTGTGGACTTTGATGAGAAAAAGACAATTATCTAAAGTTCTGAATACAACTGTGGTAACCAACAGTTTTAGTGGTGATGTAAAATGAAATTGTCATAGACTGTATTGTAATAACAGAGGAGGAAGTATAATTCGATTTGTCAAATTGTATTTTAAAGTAACTTAACCAATCTGTGTTGAATTTGACGAAAGAGAGACAATTATTTATAACTCTGGATACAACTGTGATAATCAACAGTGTAACACATTTTTATATATTTCACTTGTTTTAATATATTATTTTAAAACAAGTGGAATGTGTGCTGTTTGTTTATTGTTGAAATTATCACCAACAAGTTACAGACACTTAGTGTGAAGAATTGTTTTTCAATTGGTTACATGTAATCCCACCTATTATGCTTGAAGTTTTTATTATTAATTAATATTTTCAAATTTAGGTTAGGTCTGAAGTTAAGCACAAAGCTACACAAGGGGCTATCTGTGCTCTGCCCACCACGGGTATCTAAACCCGGTTTCTAGCGTTGTAAGTCCTCAAACATACCGCTGTGCCACTAGGGGGCAATATTTTCATAAAGTTGATTTGTTCCTAGATAAATAGTGTATAATATGCATGGTTACTACTTTAATATTAAACCGAGATAACGCTCTGTTCTATTAAACTTTACGATAACAGACGTAAAATGGCAATGAAGGCCTGCATTCCAAATTCGGTTATAGATAGAAAGGGAAATAGGCAAAACCAGTGTAACTGGAGAAAAAAAAGATTAATTTGTATATGAATCTTTATTTTATTATTTAGATAATTCTTGAAACACTTGCAAAAATCGCGATCGTTAGAATAGCGATAAAAACATCTTTTTTTTTTGCAATTATTCTGGACATCATAATGCTTGATGACAGTCAACGAAACGCCTTCGAGTTTTAATATTGCTTTTTTGATTAGAAAGTACTCTAGAGAAAAATTGTATATTTTAAAAGATATGTTACTCATTAACATTACAATCTGTTTAACGATTTATTGTTAGAAATATTGAGCATCTTATACTTCACGTTTCTTCATATACTACAATGCAATCTGTTTAACGATTTATTGTTAGAAATATTGAGCATCTTATATTTCACGTTTTTCACATACTACAATATAATCTATTTAACGATTTATTGTTAGAAATATTGAGCATCTTATACTTCACGTTTTTCACATAGTACAATGCAATCTGTTTAACGATTTATTGTTAGAAATATTGAGCATCTTATACTTCACGTTTTTCATATACTTATTTCTTTTTACAGATCTTGAAGAATAAATTTATTGTAGAAGGACAATAGAATTGCGACTGGTCTATCATATGAGAAAGAACCCCTAACCTGAGTGTTCAAAGGAACAGATGGTTTACGTCAGAGAGCTTTTATCCAATCAATCTCATGAATATATGCGTTTCCATGGTAACATGTACGTTAATGCGGATCAAACACTGAAAAGGAGTTGACTGTTTAGCCCACTACTCAGTATTAACTTTACGCGAGAGGGGACTTGATACTAGGAATAATGCTTTTGAATTCTGTATCTCAGTAAGTGATATATAACTTATTGTTTTTCACGATATCAGAACTATTGATTGACAACATCATTTTAAATAATTCAGATAAGATTTATCATATAATATTTCGAGGTGATGAGATACAGCATCTTTAGCAAAACTTATCCGAACTTGAAAGAGTAGTTCAAACATAAAACATCTTTGTCAAAAATACATCCTTTCAGGTATATTCAAGATTATAAGTTTTTTCTACTTATGCAGCTTATAGCTCATTTTTTGTCTCTCGTATAACTTTTCAAAAAATATATAAATGGCTTCAACATTTTCTCCAACAGTTTTTGAAAATTTTGCTTGTGAAACGACCAACAGTACAGATAATGCTAATAGCACTGTTCCAGCTTGTAATTTAACGATGGATCCTTTGAACATGACCATGATGTTACCAGAACCCTCATACTATCCAGCTTACTACAGAATTGTTGGAACCACATTTCAAGGATTAATCTTCCTGATTGGCGTGCTAGGTAACATTATGGTGGTAATAGTTGTAACCAAAACTCGAAGCATGCTCACCCCTACTAACTGTTATCTTGTCAGTTTGTCCCTAGCTGATCTTATGGTCCTGATGGCTTCTGTACCTAACGAGGTCTTATCTTATTACTTACTAGGAGACGAGTGGATCTGGGGTCGAGCTGGGTGTGTTATCTTTATATTTCTTCAGTATCTAGGGATCAATGCTTCGTCCCTGTCTATCACAGCTTTCACGGTGGAACGGTACATCGCCATCTGCCATCCTATGAAGGCCCAGATGGTTTGTACTGTCAATAGAGCCAAAAAGATCATCATCGGGGTTTGGGTGTTTGCCTGTCTCTACTGTTCCCCTTGGCTTTTTCTCACGAAGACTGTACCCATCTATTATAAAGGACACGAGAACAAGGAGACCTGCACCTTTGCTCTATCCAGAGAACATTACTTGGGTTATTTCTTCGCTGATCTGGTGCTCTTCTACATTTTCCCATTGTTATTGTCCTGTGCACTCTACGGACTGATAGCGAAGATCCTTTTCACCAGTGAGATTCCCAGAAACGTAACCAAAGGAGGCAACCCTCCAAGAGATTCTGGGAAGAGTAGCAATACAAGTGCCAGAGTTCAGGTAAATAATAGATTTATACCCGGTGGTTCAAATAAAGTATACCCGAGGAAAACCTAATTTATTATTGATTGCACAATGATTATACAAAGTCCAAGGAAAAACATCTGTTATAGTTCCAATAGTATTGTCGTTCTTCTACAGACAGTTGATAGGGCATGGTCAGTTGTTTATTGTAAATCTGAAAGAAACAAAAAGAGAAATACATCAAGTAATTTCTAGAATATAAATTTGTTGGACCACCATTACCTCATTTATGATTGCCAATAAATTACACATACGAGTCTTAACACTTTTAAGATTTTAAGCTCGGTTTGAATCTGGCAAGTATCCGTAGGGTCACCGGCGAGTGACATTGGAGTCGACAATCGGGTCTAAGCTTCCTACGTCTTCTCCATTCATTAAACGGGGCGTGTAAATTCATAAATAAATAAGTTTACATTCCTATTTGTGTAAGGTTGTAAAACACGATAAACGGTTCATATCAATATATGCTCCATTTTGTTTAATAATATATATCTTCTAAATCAATTCTACTAGTAAAATGTCCGTCAGCGGTAAGTTTACAGACATATAACGCTAAAATCTGGGGCTCGATTCCTCGCGGAGGACACAGAAGATAGCTCAATAGAAAAATGTCCATAGTATTTCGACAGATACGTTTAATTCATTATATGTTTTTATTTTCAACTTTGTAATCATTTTCATACATCAGCATGTGTGTGTTTTGTTATCACTAAATGTTGATAAGTAATAATGGACTTCAAATCATTAAAGTCATTTACTGGAATTTCAAACATTCTGGATAATTAGCCCTATTAGCAGGAAATATTTCATATACTAGTCCTGTAAAAGGTACCCTTACTGTGTTATATATCCATAACCTTACTGTGTTATGTTTTTGTTATGATCGAAAGTCATACTGAAAAGGATGAAATTTACTATTAATTTTGATATGTTAATTTCGCAGTAATAGTCACTCGTTCTCAGGAGACGAATTCTGTGTTCTGTTGAATATATTTTACTTTTAAGTTGTTGTCATAAGCGATAAATATTGGTATATTTTTACGTCATATGAGATTCATCCATACACATTTTCAAATTTCAAATATTAATTTTTTAAAGTGAATTCGTTCACCCATCTTGTTGTCCCTCAGTGGCTTAACGGAAAGTCTGTATAGTTATAATGTTATAAATCGAGTTTTGATAGCCCTGGTGAGCACAACACAAATAGCCCATTGCGTAGCTTTTGTGTTTAACAAATATATATATATATATATATAATGTTAATTATTGTGTATGGAACAGGTGGTTTGTGTGACGTTCTAAAACACAGTATTTATTATTAATACCAGTATGTCTTCCATTGCGTTTGACGGTGCTTACATACCTATTTATCGTAGAAATGTACCATACGTTTTCTGTGCTAATTATGATAGCTCATAACCTTCTGATTACAGCATACTTTTTCAGTAGTTCAGTTCTTAACAATAACAATTTTCAGCCTGCACTGACTAACTGGAAAGTTATTAAGTCAAGTTTTTCAGTTCAAATCCAGCAGTTATATACACTTCTCGTTATACAAGTAGTGCGAGCTAAGCCTGGACATTTTATTCATCATGTATATTTACTAGATTTCATTGTTCCTATTAAATGATATATTTAATACATATCCTCGAACGCGGGACGGGGTTGAGTAACTCTTGTTTTTACTGATTAATTAAAGTCATTTAAACTAAGGATAAAAGTATTTCTGCATCAAACCCACTGAGAAATGAATTTATGACTTCATAAAACCTCATATGATTTCTAGCTCCATTTTGTTATACTTCTAATTGTTATATCAATTTCAACGACTGTCACTGTGATAGTATTTGATATTAACACGTCATATAAGAGCTCGGAATGCAACAATTTTATATTAAGATTCCTTTTTTATTTAATAGAATTCCAGGTATGCATATAGTGATACATATATATCACTATATATCACTATTTATTACTATATCTTTAAGGATATAGTAATAAATAGAAACTTATAAATTAATTCTTTCGATAACTTTGGCTTGTATGTTTCATGTATTTCGGGCAATCCTATTTTCAAGTGATAGACTAGAGGAAAGACAGTTAGACAACAGCACTCTCTACTTAAACTTGGGCTACTCTTGTCAGACCCAATAATTGGATTTTTATAATGCACTGACAGCTCCAAAGTGCATGTCGTTCTTTTTTTTTTTTTGGCGGTGACGGGATATGAACCGTGGAACCTCAGATCCACGGTTCGCCACGCTAATCACTTTGTCATGTATGGGTTACTTACTGAGAGACAATACGTGTCTTATTATCAATTAATAAATGTTAAAATGGCCGTAGCCTAGCATTTAGCGTGCTTGGACTGTTAATCAGAAGGGTTCGTTGTTCGAGGCCCTTTGCCACAACAACGTGCTCCGCGCTTTGTGGCTGTGGGCGCGTTACAACAGTGATTCGGTCACTCAAGAGTAGCTTAAGAGTTTGAGGTGGGTGCTGTTGCTCTGTTGAGTAACTAGCTTCTTTCTAGTCTATCGTTTCAAAATTAGGGACGGCTAGCAAAGATAACCCTTTCTGTAATTTTGCGCAAATAATCTGAAACAACCAAATAAATGTTAACACGTTCATAAGGTAAAATGTTTGCTATAAGTACTTATACACTGCATGATCAATTTTGCCGGAACGTTAAACGTTTGGTCACAAGTCCTGTGATCAATATAGTGTTATAAGGTTTAGGTTAAGTGTAAAAAAATCAAAAAACAACAACAAACAAAAACACCCCCCCCAAAAAAAAACACCAACACCACCACCAACAAAACAAAACAAACAACAACAACAACAACAAAGTCGCATTTCCAGTGGAAAGCCGGGAGATGTAAACATTATTCCTGTTACCATCTATAATACACACAGTAGAGATACTCTCAGTCTTTTTGAAAACAGTAAAATCTAATTGCAGAATGACCACAAATCTCCATAATGCAAACTGTAGTCACCATTCTAAGAATATGGGAGTATTAATTTCAGGGCTTGTTTATATTTATCCTGTGCGTTTTATGTAATACACTATTTCAATCCACCTTTCATACAAGATGAAAAAGGGAAAAAATGCATTTGACAAAATAAAGGCAAAAATGAAAACCCGTTTGGTTACTTGCTTACACATTGTGTATGTCACCTCATGTCAGAATAACTAGCTTGCAATCACTTGTCTTCTTTGACAATAACATCGCTGAACCTTTCATCGGAAACATCCACACAAAAATCTAATATATTATCATTACAAGTATAATGCTGTTGATAGTATATCATAATAAAGGTGATAATAATTTCAACCACATAATTATGTACTGGCTCTATATCCTTTACACTGAAATAGTGAACAATGATATACCTATACTAACAAAGAGATTTTTCGTCCAGGGTCGCTTATTAGGCTAGAAGATGAAAAGTCTTAGTTGAAACTCTGCTTAAATCATTCGTTTATGAGACACTAAGTCCTGCATTATACAACGCTTAAGCTGGCGAAGCACTATCTTCTTTACAAGTTATAGGTTCAACTAGGAGAGTAAAGAAGGAAGAAGTAAAATTATTGTCAGTCATATAGTGGAGCAATATCACACATATATAAAGGGATCATGTTTCGTAAACCTTCGATTATTTACCATGATAATCTTATGAAGATAATATAGAATGACAATTTCAACATTAATAAAAACTTATCTTTTATATACGCTTATTTAAAACGTAACTCAAGTCATTTGGTATGTAAATTTGACATAATTACCTAAGTATAGAAGAAGATTCAGAAACAACTAATGTGATTTTATCAAGACGAATTCTCTTCATTAAAATTTCCAGTTATCTTCAGAATCACTTACTCCACATCTCTTTGTTTGTGTTTTGGACTGGACTAACGAACATTATTCATTGCTTTTATAATTTTTGAATGTTCATAGCTCAATAATTAAGTAAACATGTTTTGAATCACGAAAGGGTTTACAACATGTTTTTACTGGTTAAATCAGAAAAATTTTAAACCTGTATAAAACAAATCACTTTTAAACTATTGAACCTCTCTCATTTATTTCGGTATTCTAAATTTTAAATTTCTACGAGAAACGCCCCCCAGTGGCACAGCGGTATGTCTGCGGACCTTACAATGCTAGAATCCGGGTTTCGATACCCGTGGTGGGCAGAGCACAGATAGCCCATTGTGTAGCTTCGTGCTTAATTAGAAACAAACAAACATCTACGAGAAACAAAGCAATAATTATTGTAGGTGCAGACATCTGACGTCATGATTTAGATTCGATGGGGAGAGGGTATTGCACTTGTAATATTTTTCCCATTCAAGTTCAAATGTTTGGATACTTAACGATGTCACATTTTGTTTTTGTGTACGGATTCTGTATAAATTTTAAGTATGTTCGGTAGTTTTAACTGAACATAGTATTTCATACGCTCGCAAATACTTCGATACAATCAATTCAACTATAAACATTCAAAGTTATTAATTACATAGTCCTATTTGTACCGGAAAACACCAGGTCCCTTTGTGTTAATCAAAAAGATAGGATGCTTAGACTATTTAACTTAATAATCATGATGATAACAAATATGTATGCAATCTAGTAATTTTTCAACTAAGTCTGTTTATATTCTTATTTCAGTGTGCCTGAAACAAATACATGTTACTCTTAATTTTTGTTATGTATTTATTTAAGTATTTGTTTGTTTGTGGTTAAGCACAAATCTATACAATAGCTTATGCGTGGTCGCGGGTATCGAATCATATATTTTAGAGTTATAAGACGTCAGGCTTACCGCTGAGCCACAGAGAGACTTTTTAAAAGCTAAACGACTGTTAATGGCATCATAATACTTAAGGTAGTCCATTTGTTCTGTTTGTATAATTAGCTATTCGTGCTGTGCCCAACATTTTAGCGATATAAGGCATCAAGCATACAGTAGCACTCAATCATTTTTTTCAGACCTAGAAAAATCTCATAGCTTTAGAAATCACCATATTCATTACGGATGTCATGGTTCTGTTGGGAGGTTGATTATTACTGTTTCTTTAACACTTTTTCAATATGAAAGCAAATGAGCATATTGGTTTAGGATAACATAATATGCATTTTGAAAACATTACGCATTTGATATCACAACTGTTACGTTAATTTATTAAATCTACTTCAGTTAGTTCATGTTTTTGATAATCTTATGCCTAAACGCCCAATGATATTAAACGTAATTATATGCTTTTTTTAAAGTACTACCTCTAATTTTTATTAATAGTAAAATCTTTTTATTGTTAAGTTTTTTTGCTACTCCAAACAAATAGTATTTTAGATAACTGAGTTCTAGAGGATTTGTGATCTCATTCACTTGAGGAGTTATAACTAACTTTTGAATTAAACATCAGGGAACCCTCAATAGCAGCTGCACTTGAAATTATTTTAGGCGGGATTAGAGTAAGTTAATCTATAAGACCTTTCTTTTTACTTTTTATTAGCTAATAATTTCTGTACCAGCATACCAAGTGTGGGGCAGGCGTAGACATGATTTAATTTTATTACTCATCAGGATCTCTACCAGCCTCCCTCAAATTGAAGTGATTTTAGGCAGGATTAGAGTAAATTAATCTATGAGACCTTTGGTGTGGCCAAATACACCAATCGAAATGATTTGACCTTCTAAGTCCTAAATTATAATTAGATTTCAAATCGATTAAGAGATGACGGATTTTTGAGCTAAACGTTTGTACTTGGAAAAAAAACAAAAAACTCAGAGTCTTTCTATGAGCCGCTATGCCGCGACTAAAAAAAACGTAAGTTAGTGTAATAGTTGTGAAATAATATATTCTTTGTTATGTAAGTACACATATATAAGTATATGCTATAAAAATATGTATTTTGATTAATTATAATATTTTCTTGAGAGTTTGTTTGTGGTTAAGCACAAAGCTACACAGGGGGCTATCCGTGTTGTGTTTATTACGAGTATCGAAACTCTGTTTTTAGCGTTATAAACCTTCAGACTTACCGCTGTGCCACAGGGAGGGGAGGGCTTACTGAGAGTAAAGTAGGATACATTATTTTAAAAGTTACAGTACATATATATATTTTTCAACAATTTTTTATTCACCTATATTCTTCTTTAGGTAGTAAAAATGTTAGCTGTTGTTGTAGCTGTCTTCGCGACTCTGTGGTTACCTTATCGAGCTCTCGTTGTCTACAACTCTTTCGCTAAACATCGCTATATGGAACCCTGGTTTCTGATGTTCTGTAAGACCATGATTTTCATCAACAGCGCTATCAACCCGATCCTGTATAACGCCATGTCTGTCAAGTTTCGCCGGGCCTTCAAACGGACCTTATCTTGTCGTCAGAAGCAACACTGTCGTCGTGGACCGTACTGTAGTGATGTAGAAACGACCAGATACCTTCCAAGTACCTTAAACACAGCAACAACAAGGGCAGCATCTTGCAGGATAGAAAAACTACAACAAATTTAAACTAAAATTTGCTATTCGAAAATATACATTTCTGGTAGGATCATATCATTACGTAATCGCAACAGTAACAAGGACAGCATTTTACACAATATTAAAACTAAAAGAAATTGAAATTAAAATAAGAAAATGAGAAATTTCCAGTAAAACAATTATCATCCAATTTAACTAACAGTATCAACAATAAGAACAGCGTTTAGCAAAATACAAAACTACAGAGTCTAAACCAAGATTAGCTGTGTCATAAGAGACATTTATAATAGCATTATCAATAAACAGTATATCTAACTAACAGTATCAACAATAAGAACAGCGTTTAGCAAGATACAAAACTACAGAGTCTAAGCCAAGATTAGCTGTTATCAATAAACAGTATATCTAACTAACAGTATCAACAATAAGAACAGCGTTTAGCAAGATACAAAACTACAGAGTCTAAACCAATATTATCCGTATCAAAATTTCTAGTAATGTAATAATTTGTTATTTCCCTCCAGCAGGATTTGACCCAGCAACTGACTGCACTATAAGTTTGTGCTTTATCAGTTAAACTTTAGTTACACCATTCATAAGGCTTTTACTTAACTACTTAAACTACCACGTTTTTCTTTTCTCACAAACAAAACCCATCTTTGGGTTTCGTATCAGGGTCGTAGAGTGGTCCCATATTGGGTGCCAGCTTTTTGTGGTAATTTAAACTTTTAGGTCACTTGTGTGCAGGATTTGAGCCCATAACTGATCACTACACAGTACATTTAACTCACCGAATCAACAAGGACAGTGTTTAATATGATATAAAACTACAGAGTCTAAACCAAGATTAGCTGTATCAAAAGATATATTTATAGTAGTATTATCTCTACACAGTATGTCTAACACATAGCATCAAAGCCAGCATTTTGCAGGATAAAGAGCAACGCAGTTTAAACCAAGACATTCCACAAAGATCATTGCGGCACATTTTTTAAAATTAATTACCTCAACAACAAAAAGAATTTTCCAAAAGAAAATGAAGTATAATAAATTCAAACGAAGGTTAAATAGAACAAAATAGATTTATAATGTAGTTTGTCAAAAGAAGCAACAAAAAAATCAAGTTAAGGACACATTTTTATGAAGACAACTCATCATGTGTATCGTGATCACCAAAGCAACAAATAGAAGTGCTTGTAAACATCGGCATGTCCTGCAATAGCACAATAAGAGATACATTTTTACTAGCGATCACGTCATCTACTGGGAACATCATTGTAAAATAAAACGGAAAGAGCACCCGGCAAACTGACAAAAACTATAGCTGTCCTATTTCAGAAGAAGCTTTCCAAGTATATATATATATATATAACGTCTAAGAAACATTACACATTAAATATGATAATAATATGAATCTTGGATAAAAAAAAGACTGTCTAAAACATCAGTAGTTTACCGACAAAAAAGACAATGGAATCGGGTTGCTATAATACCTATCCTAATGAGATTTTAACACTGTAGAAAAATACCAACAACAGATCAATATTTCATGTGTCCAAGGTAGAAAAATAAGACTAGTACAGTTATCTACTTAATATTAACCCCATGTTAAAGCAAACACTAATACAAAGTCTGTATTGTCATGTAACTGGCCATACAATACTCACAGAAGCAGTCGATCAGGAAATTTGGACATGACAAAAAACGAGAAATACTGTTCTAAGGTCCATAAGGAATTAAATTTAATTATTAGCCACATAATTTGAAAAAGTTCTACAAATAAATATGAGAAACAGACCTTTTGTCCAGTAAACATTTTGGATACGCAGATAAGATTAAAAGCTATGATACGGATCAGATAAAATGAGATTTCGGCACAACACTTACGTAGTTACCTTTGCCACCGAATGTGGACGGAGTTTATGTTTTCACTCCTCTGTGAGCCCAGCATGGCCAGGTGGTTAAGGCACTCGACTCGCATTCTGAGGGTCGCGGGTTCGAATCCCTGTCACACCAAACATGCTCGCCCTTTCAGCCGTGGGGGCGTTATAATGTGACGGTCAATCCCACTATTCGTTGGTAAAAGAGTAGCCCAAGAGTTGGCGGTGGGTGGTGATGACTAGCTGCCTTCCCTCTAGTCTTACACTGCTAAATTAGGGACGGCTAGCGCAGATAGCCCTCGTGTAGCTTTGCGCGAAATTCAAAAACAAACAAACAAACACTCCTCTGTAGGTTTATGAGTGTTTGTCAGCATGATTTCTTGACAACGGCTGAATGGATTTGGACGAAAGTTAGTAAATATTTGGACTATGACGGAACTTAGAAGTGATTAGTTTTTGGAGGGTCAAGGTCACGAATATCCAAAAAATCCTTTTCTGTTAACATGGGGAACCGAGTTTTGCTCTATAACTCAGTTAAAAACAATCGGGTTTTGATGAAATTTGGTGGACATATGCAGAATATTATTCCTCCTTGTCCTGCCAAAAATGGTTCGTGTCCAATGATAACGACAGACACACGGACAGATTTTCGTATTTTTTGAGGGCCGAATATGATCAACGCTTCGTGGCGGAGGTATACGCTCTACTGTGTGTCCATCTAGTTTGTATGACATACTTTAATTTTGGAAGTAAATATGCTTGGAATATCGTGGATATGTGACAAATATTTATCTGTTTTAAACTTACTTTATATGTTCATAAAAATAATTTCCTGTTGATCTGCCTTTTCAGCGAATGTATCGAAAACCATGGAAAGGTATATCAAATTTATTATACGCTAAATATTTGTAAGTGTTAATTAAATGACTAGTTTTTTTTGTGCAAGTATAAAACGTGTTATCAGTATTATCAGAAATCATCACATCCTAATCCATATATTTATTCTCCAAAGAAATTGTTCTTGTTTCATTAGTTTTTAGACTTTTTAATTACTACCATAACCTTAATTATAGTTTTCTAGAGAATATTACACGTGAGTTCAAATAAATTAAGGACTTACTGTAATGCAGAATTACGCAGACATGCAGCGAAAATTGATACTTTCGGAAGTATGATTTAACTAGTTGTAAAAATATCTTGAAACGCATATATATTTATCAACTACATACTTCAGGTTAATCGAATTAAAACTTTGTTTTTTTAAACTTCGGATTCATTCTGAAATTTATTTATGGAGCTTGTTCTGAAATAATATCTTTATTATAATTGTTTCTGCAATGCTATGTGAGAGAAATATTGTATTTTATGTTGCGCTGGGGAAAACTTTACTGTAAACCTAATTCGATAACCCTGTAAAAATATACGGGTAAATGTTATCCATAAACAAATAGTTCTCGCCCTAAAAATGTCCATTAAGCTTGGGTGAAATACCGTCACATAAAAGATAGAGTTCCATGACTACGAGCTTTTAGATTTGATAGTTTTTCGTGAAGAACTAACAGATAGCAGGTCTATAGTTAATTGCAAATCATGGGTGATTTGTAAAATATGGATTTACGGTCTTGCATTTTAATGACTAACATGTATCCTTATGTCTTCACTGTGAGAGTGAATGACAATCTGTTAAAAAAATTCGAAAAACTTTCTTCAAGGCAGCATTATCAGAATAATATTAATTGGACCAAGCATTCTACTCTTAACTAGCTCATAATAGGGTGCTCATTATGAGCATAAAGCGAATTAGCGGAATTTTGCTAATGAACATTTCTCGTAGAAAGTCATTTGACATTTCTACCTAATAATGTCAGTAGATAATAAAACATATGCATTTTCTGAGGCCTGTTGCCTGAGGAAAAATGTGGTTATTATTCAAATATATAATTAGTTGATATCGAGATAGTTTAAGCAAAGCCTTAGGCATATTCCGTAGAAACAGTATATTTTAGATTAAGTAATGCAGCTTGAAGACAGATGTTATAATGACACTCGATACGGTTTAAGTTTCTCAGAGAAAATAAAAAGAAATTTTTCGGCGACAATTTTCGAACAGCTGTCAGAAAGTGACTTTCTATTTTTCGATAAAATGTTTTCTGAGAATTTTTCTTCCACGAGCGTGCCCGACCTAGTCATTGATCATCAGAAAGTGGCATTTACTGCCATACATAAAAATGACACTAGGTTTGTCGTAATCAACCTTTTAGAACATTCGGATTCTGTTAATGTTAATACACTTTGTGCTGGCTGCACACAACATCACAGTGAATAAGCAAATTGATTATCATATAAATTATGTAGTGCGTAAATAACTACTATAGAGATGGAAACCACCTGTTTTTACTTTCCATTCTAAAAATTAAAATTTTATATCTGAATTAAACTATATAGTCCTGATGATTTTAGTAGAATCATGGAATTCACAGGGATTTTGTGTTTGCTGGTAGGGAAAGGAGAGGTGAAAGTAATAGTAAACCTTCAACATTGAAAGTTCATCAATTGTAGCTCGTTTTTCACCCCTTGTTCTATCATAAAATATCCTAACCCTTTCCAGAAACTGAAAATCTTATAATTTAACCTTTATTTTAATGTATAGATTTCAACTATCTATTAATCTTTGATCAATATTTACTAATAGAGAAAATGAACAAAAGTGCACACATATATATATATATTTAAGAAAGTTCACTTGAGATTCGAGTCAACTACTCTTATGATCGGACAGGTATTGTAGCGAATCATTGTATTTACTTGTGTATACTTATAACAAAAATCAACAATTAAATTAGTAGGGCTGTAGTCTGAAATATTTAATTATTATTTCTAAATCCATTGTAACGCACAGAGTGTACTGCAAGCATCTTGTGGCATGTAACATAATTATACCAAGCGATTTTCTGCAATTTTACTTGTTACTGACTACAAGGTTACTGGTTGTTAGGAACAATTTGAATCAGTAAGTGGAGACCAGAGCACAGGATATCGGGCTAGTGCTTATAGCCCACAGGAATAAGACACCCAAATCTTGATATATTTTTAATATATCTATATGATATTTAGTGTGCAGATAAAAGAAGAACACTTGAAGTCGTCGGTTATGTAACATGTTGTACTTTGTAAACTAGGTTGTCATCCATTATTATGGTAGATTAATGTTACATGTACTTTGTAAACTAAGTTGTCATCTATTATCATGGTCAATTAATGTTACATGTTGTACTTTGTAAACTATGTTGTCATCCATTATCATGGTCAATTAATGTTACATGTTGTTCTTTGTAAACTAGGTGGTCATCCATTACCATGGTAGATTAATGTTACATGTTGTACTTTGTAAACTAGGTTGTCATCCATTATCATGGAAGATTAATGTTACATGTTGTACTTTGTAAATTAGGTTGTTATTCCCATTATTATGGTAGATTAATGTTACATGTTGTACTTTGTAAACTAGGTTGTCATCCATTATCATGGAAGATTAATGTTACATGTTGTACTTTGTAAACTAGGTTGTCATCCATTATCATGGAAGATTAATGTTACATGTTGTAGAAGCAGTCTATTAGAGAACACTTCGTTCATTGTGGACTGTGGTTTCAGATTGTATAATCAATTTACTATAATAGCTGTTGTTTGTTTTGAGGTGATTTCATAATATTTGGTATACAATCCGCTATAAGGCGCTTTAAAATATTTGGTATATCAGTTTTTAAGATAGTTATCTGTAACATACAAAAAACAACAACAAAAACTACATTATACTTTTATCATGTAGACGATTTCACGATGTTTCCTCAGATCTAGTGTCGCAATGA